GGGTGGGATTTATTGATGAAAGGAACATGGTGTCTAAAATACCGGTTATGTCAGATCCAGGCGAAGATAGATAGATATTTTTAATATATTTTACATATTTAAATTCTCAATTTATACATTATACATTATACATATAGTCATACAGGGGTTTAACGAGCTCAAATAAGCTTTTGTTAATCATTGGAAGAAAATTTGTTACAGAATTTAAAGAATTTTTTAAATCACGAAACCTCTCCGGGTGAATGTCAATCTCTTATCAGAAGTTTATGAAAAAATCTAAATCTTGATTTTTAGCCCATTTATCAAATATAGATCATCGTAAATTAGTCCTTCAGTTGAAATTATCAAATTTTTTGTTTGTATAAATAATATATATATATATATATATATATATGTAACTTTTACAAATAGACAAATATTTTTGGTCTGCTAAATGTTTTCAAATAAACTTTATATCTAAAATTTATCTTATTGGTGTGAACTTATCAATATCAATTATTATTATAATATTGTAAATATAATTCATGGTTCATTGACTTTTCAGCAAAACTGCTTAGATTTTATCCATCCATTAATTTATCTATCTATCCACTTCATGTATCTATCTATCCATCTATCTCCGACCCATCAAGGTTTCTGTATAATTTTGTTTAGTTTTTGTATTCAAATAAATGGTTGAATTCGGGAGAAAAACTCGGCTTTATCTCATCCTGCCCTGATCAATCCTAGGCAAACTATTTTTATGGACCGAGATCGGTCCGGTACATTAATCTTGTGACCCGGACCGGCCAGGATGAACCGGACCGCCTCCTCCGCCTGCCTAGCCTGCACCGGCCCCCGCAGTTAAACCCAACATGGAGGTGAAATAACGACGAATAGGAATGAAGATGAAAAGGCTGGGGCTCGAATGAGGTTTGGTTTGAGGAGAAGCGGAGCGGAGCTCAACCCGACAGAGAAGCCTCAGTTCCCTGTAGTGCAGTGACATCCTAGGACCAGTCGGAGAAACCCTATTTATTCTCAAACCTAGAAACTAGATTTATCTCTCATCCTGCAACCTTGATCAGGATGATTGACAGAAACATACCAACTTCCATGGAAGGAATGGAACGGGGAATGTATCATACCTCTGACAGAATGGAGCATAATGGAGACTTTAGAAATGGAGATTCCTCTCCGAACAGACGTAGTGGTTCTCCTATATCATCTCCCCCCTCTTCTCCACCACGCTCCTCTCCAGCTAGATTTCCATCCAGGGGGTCTCCTACAGGATTCCCATCTGGTCCCCTTCCCATTCCATCCTCCCTCCCCCCCTCCCTACCTCCTGGGGTATTTCTGCCCCCTAACTTCAACCTCCAACGACCTCCAAGCGATTATCTGAACCTACAACTATCAGAAGGAAAAAAATCATCCAAATTTAAAATAAATTTTTTTCTTTCTAAGCTTTAAAAAGACAGCAACACACTTTTTTAACGAATAAAATTTGAATGATTGGTTACTTAGGTGGATACAGCCGTAGTCCGTCATACAGTATGGTTAGCCCGAACGACCCGACGGCGAATGCTTGTAAAATCGTGGATTTTCACGGCGAGAAAATCGCCAGCTTTAATATTCACGGGAAGACGATGTTGTGTCTGCCGCAGGCCTTCGAGTTGTTCCTGAAGAACCTGGTGGGGGGACTCCATACTGTTTATACTAAGTGTAAACGTCTAGATATACATCCTCTAGTGTGTAATGTAGAACAGGTATAGGTCAAATTTCAGAAATTAAACGAAAAAAGAGAAATTTTAAGAAAATCATTACAATTCCATGATTCAAATATATAAACGAAAATACATCTAAAAATGTTTCACAAATAAAAAAAACTGCAAATGTAATTGTAACTCGGTAAGTTTTTAAATTTCGGTATTCCTAAAGGTCCACTATAGTATTCCTAAAGTATAGTATCTAGTAAATAGTAAATAGTATCTTTTTCCGTTTTATTATTATTTACTTTTTTCTTCTCTCCATCTTCAATATTTTTTTCACCCTATTTTTTTCAAATATCTATTCTAAATTTTTTATCTATTTTTCCTATTTAAAATGTTTACCCTCTTATTTGAATTTATTTTATAATGTTTTTTTTCTAATCTAATCTATTTCTAACTAGGTTCGTGTACTGCGGGGTTTAGGAGCTATACAACCTGGAGTAAACAGATGTAAACTAATCGGGGATACAGATTTCGAGGAACTCATGAAAGACTGTAACACTTCGAGGTAACTTTATTCATATTTTTGGGTCAAATTTCAGTTTTTTTCTATAATTTTTGTATCATTTAAACTTTCAAAAATCTTTTAGTCTTTAGTCTTTCAAATAACCTGTGCGTATACCTTCACTGTCTGTGTTTATACCCATTGTTTATGTGTGTACATCCTCCCTGTTCATTTATAAACCCCTTGAGTGTGCCTAAACCCCCCTGTCTTTGTAAATTTCTCCCTGTCTGTGTCTAAACCTCCTTTCTGTGCCTAAACCCTCCTGTCTTTGTAAATTTCTCCCTGTCTGTGTCTAAACCCCCTTAATGTATCTAAACCCCCTGTATGTCTCTAAACCCTCATGTCTGCCTCTATACCCCCTGTCTATGTGTCTATGTATTTATCCCATTTCTATCTCTCATGCCCCCCATTGTTTTTGTCTAATACCCCAGGTCAATGTTTATACCCCCACGTCTGTGTCTAAGCACCCTGTCTTTGCCTTATTCCCCCTGTGCTGTGAGTGTCTATATGCCCCCTTGTCTGTGTCTAAACCCCCTGTCTATGTCTTTACCCCCCTGTCTATGTCTACTCTGCCCCTAATAAAATCTCAGATCTGTGTGTAGGCCTGGACGTCCTCCGAAGCGAATGACCCCTATTACGACCTTCTCCTCCATGCCTCCCCATCACGAGATGTTCACCTCCCTGCCCCGCACCATACCCTTCCCTCCCCCACACTCCAGGGAGATGCCCTTCAATCCCTTCATGTCTCTTTCTGGACAGCAACAGGTGAAATAACATGTTGAAACAAATATTTTATCTTAGGATATTTTTTCTTCAAATTTTATCGATTATACATTTTTAAATACATTAAATTGGTTCGAGCTTCGATACTTAAAATTATATTTGAAATTTAGAATTTTTAAAGATGTTTAGCTGACCTAGTAAACAAGAGATATTTTGGTTTAATTCATATTTGAATATTTTTCAAAAATGTTTTTTTAATAAAAAATGCATTCAGGCGCATCAGATGGCTGCGCATGCGCAGAATTTACTGCGGAGTCAGGGTATGCCTGGACAAGGATTAATGCAGGAACAGATGTTGGAGAAATATGGAAACATGCTGAGACATTTGCATGGGTAGGTTTTAATTGTATTTTCATGAGACAAAAGAAAAGGTTAAAATAATTACACAGATTTAAAACTGAGAGTTTTGAAATGGTTAAAAGAGGCATTAATGTAGTATTTCGCGCGAAAAATAGCCTCTACTGATATTTAGCATTGAAAACGCCTGTTTATTTCTCATCTCCTCATCCACCTCCCCTCCTTCCCTCTTTTCTCAACCCACCTCATCCATCCCTTTTCTTCCCCCCCCCTCCATCCCTCCTCTCCCTCCCCCTGAAGCCTGCTACTCTCTTAAATACTATTATACTGAGTAATCAGGTTTATAGGAGAAAATAATGTGACTATCACGCTTAAATATCTATCTATATATCTATCTATTTATCTATCTTTTTATCTTTCTATCTATCTATCTATCTTTCTATCTATCTATCTATCTTTATCTACCCATCTATCTTTCTTTCTATCTTTCTGTCAATATATAAGTCTTTCTATCTCACATTCTCACTAACCATACATATAAACTATTTATCTACATACCTAGCTATCTATCTATTCATATATCTATCTATTTATAAATTTATATGTCTATCTATCTATCTATCCTCGCATTTGCCTGAACTAAGTCGTGAGACCTGATTTCTTAATATACAGTGTAAATCTGTATATATACACTACCTTTGAACTATGATTAGAAATATTTATCAAATCTGATCTATATCTTTCACTCTAACCATATATCTATCTTTCATGTCTATCTATGTATTCAGCCATAAATCTAACCATACTTTTAACAGAAACACAGTTAACATTTCTTTTGCTGGTCACGTAAATTATTTTTTCAAAAGTAACTTATTTTTAGGTTAAAAAATGAAGAAGATATTCAACGGTCCCCCACCCTCCAGGGTTCCCCGCCCCATTCCCCACGCTCCCCCGCCCTTAACCTCTCCTATGGTCAGGAGGACCGACTCAATCTCCTGAGAAAGGAGGGGCTCCACCTTCAAATGAAAGGGGAGAGCGAGTCCGACCCCGGAGAGATGAGCGACACCAGCGTGGAGTGTGAGAGAAGGGAGATTGTCAAATCTCGGACAGATGTTGACAGACAGACAGGCTGGGCGGACAGACAAACGGACAGCTGGAAGGAAGGGGAGAAAACACAGTCTCCAGCCTCAATGATACAGCTGATGAGCCATATTCAGGTCAAAAAAATAGATATAATATTTTGTGAATTTTCATTGCTTTTGCCTGAAAATATTTTCTTAGTACTAACTGCGGCGCTTGGCCCAGGCATTTTCTCAAACTCACCAATAATATTAAAATAGTTTTCAGATGTATATTTTGTATAGGGGGGGGGGGGGCAAATTCTTTTAATTGGAGTCGGCCAATCATTTTATACATGGCCAAATTTGAAATATTTTTTTCTTCAGGATTTAGTAAAAACTGCAATAAACAATGCCAAAGATGAGAAGAAGGAAGAGAAGGAGGGGAAGGAGGAAGGAGAGGAAAGGAAGGAAGAGGAAGGAGATGAATCTCTTGATGAACTAAAGAAACAAGTTGCAGAGGCTCAGAAATTAACAGGTTTGCGTGCCCCCCCTTTAAATACATTCTTATCTATCCATCTTTCAATCTAATACCAAGACTTTTTCCAAGTGCATTAAACTTTCTAAAATTGACAAAATATTTTGTTTTCCTCATTGCATATCCACCTATCTAATAAAACATCTACTAAAGAAACAGTCTGTCGATCTTTCTATAAACCTGTCTTATTGTCTTTCTATCTATACATCTATATATAAACATTATCCATTCATCTATACATCAGTCTTTATATATATATTTCTCTCATATTTATATTTTCTCTGTTTAGAGATCTACCTGCGCCGGTTTAAGAAGGAGAAAAAGTTGCGGCGCAAGGTTCAGGATCAGTTAGAACTACAGTCTATAAAGAAGGCTCGGTTAGAGGAGGCTCTCTCAGCAGTCTCGTATCAGACTTTTCTACAGCTTAAAGAAGAATCCTAATCAGTCATACTTTACCTTACGACTTAAATCAGCCAACATTGTTTTTCATCAGCCATTGTAAATGTTTATCAGTCATGTTACATTAATTTGTTATTCATTCAGTTCCTCATTTTATTTCCTCAGATTCTTTTCTTAAATTTGTCATTACTTCCCTTCCATTACTTTCCTTCCTTTATTTCCCTTCCATTACTTTCCTTCCATTACTTTCCTTCCATTATTTTCCTTCTATTACTTTCCTTCTATTCATTTCATTACCCTATATTCTGTGTTATTTCATTTCTTTCGTCTCACTTCCTTTTCTTTTCCTCTCCTTTTAGTTTTTCTCCTGTTCTTTTCTCCTTCCCAGTTCCTTTTGTCTTTCAATTCTTCTTCCTCTCCAGTTCTTTACTCCTTTCCCGTTCCTTTTTCCTTCCTCAGTTCCTTATTTATATAAATATATATATACTGTGTATAGTTCACCCTGTGGATCTCTGTTGTATCTCTGAATCACCCTGTAAACCTGCAAAAAATCCATTTTTAAACCTGAATCTGTTTTTTAAAAATTGAAATCTTTAACAAATGACATTTTCTAAGATGAAAAATGTCATATAATCAGAGAACTAGACATTTCCATTAAATGTGTACATTTATGTTGTGCATATTTAAGAAAAACTTAATTTAGCCAATGCATGGAATCTTCCAAAAAAAAATCCTTGAAAAGGATTTGACTCTAACCCTTGTTTGAGATATTAAAACCTAGTTTAACAAGAGTAAATGACAATTTGTATTGAATTAACTGTGATTATTATGTAAACTTTAATTAAAGAATAAAGTATTTAAAATTTAAAACCATATAACAATTGATAATGTAAACATTTGAGAGAATTCGTGTACTTTGGTAAAATAAAACTAAAGCAAAACTTCAAACAATATTCTAGTTTTCTTGTTGTAAGATCCTAATAATAATAATTAATACCAGTCACGGCAAACTAAAGTAAATGGCACGCAAGATTGAAATCTTAAAAAAATTTTCAAGCATAACTCTTTTTATAGAAGCCAGCACTCCTGTTTGCCGAGTCCATTAGCGCCTGATCCAATCAGAGTTCAGTCATGTGTTTGTTGTCTATTCTGAACCAATAGAAATTGCATGGCGGTAACATCTATATTTCTATCTATCTCATTATCCAATTAGAGATGAATCCGTATATCGACACTTTAACGGTAAATGGAAACTCAGGTTCCAATACTAATTTGATTTATTCAGCAAGACGGGGCACGAATCACATTGAAGTTTTAGCATATAGTCTTAATCAATTTGAAAATGAAATATTTACGATTATATAACATTTTATAAATCTACTGAAACATAGTATAGAATACATAAAATTGCAACTATTCCTATTTACAAATATATTTATACTCCAAATGCAAAATTTTATATGTATCCCTCCTAAATATTTCACAAATGTCCAACTATATGTGTATCCTTCCTTAATACATCTCCTCCATATATAAATATCCAACTATATGTGTATCCTTCCTTAATATCTCCTCCATATATAAATATCCAACTATATGTGTATCCTTCCTTAATTTATCTCCTCCATATATAAATATCCAACTATATGTGTATTCCTCCTTAATATATCTCCTCCATATATAAATATCCAATTATATGTGTATCCCTCCTTAATATATCTCCTCCATATAGAAATATCCAACTATATGTGTATCCTTCCTTAATATATCTCCTCCATATATAAATATCCAACTATATTTCTACATCTAATTATAAGAGTATACAAAAGGGCGGGCTAAGAGTAATTAGGTTTGACCAAGCCAGGGATTCCTTTTTAATAAGAGGGGGGGGGGAATTAAAAAGGGAAAACAGGTAATTGAAAAAAACATTCTACGCATATGCATGGTGGGGAAAAATTGATAGCAATAACATTAAATTTTTTACTAACATTCCCCTATTTTAAGAATCCAAAATGGCCCCCTTTTCTAATTTTTCATAATGGCGCTCTGGTTAGGAACACCCAAATGGTTCTAAAACTCATTCTAAATATTAATGATATTTAGCTTCTACTCCTGGTAGGGGGCAATAGGGGAACATAAAGGAAGGAGGGGGGTAGGAGGGGGGGGGATAAAACCGGAAAATATGGAAAGGGGGAAATAATACGTTTTGCTGGACATCGGGGAAAAGTATTGAAAAATGAAGGATGTAAACTTGAAATGGAAAATTCGATGTACATAAGTATATTTAAAACAAATTGTCTATCT